TTCTGTCACTGTCAAGGGCTGAGGTGCATGTGAGCGAGGGATGTAGCTTTCCACAGGATAATAGCGCCAACACGCCTCATTTTGCCTCATCCACACAATTATGTTCAAAGACCAGAAATCATCCTGCCAGTGGGCAATGAGCAGAAGGCCAAGGAATGGCCCGAGCCTGGACCTGGACCAGCAGGGCCGAGGATTGTTGGTGGCAGGAGAAGAGCATTGACGCTAGTCGTCCAGGGAGGCTGACTGTTACCCACCCTGTTCCTGCTCTCAGAGTGTATGTATCACTTGGCTCTTAGGATCCAGAAACTGCCAAGGCTGCTAGTCGCCTCCTCCAGTGGGCACCTTTACATCTACAACCTGGACCCGCAGGATGGAGGAGAGTGTGTCCTAATCAAGACCCACAGGTAAAGACTGCAGCTTTCAGACGGTGTCCCCGAGCTGCTGCAGGAGAGCCGTCACTTCACTGGGAACAGTGACCAGCTTCAGTGCCCCTGCTTTCCTTCCCGGCTCACCAGCAGTTTCAGGGGAACCCCGGGCAGGCACCTGCTCTGGGTCAAGCTCTCTGTCAGGTGTCTTCTGCATGCTGTCCCCCCTGGACAGTGCCGGGATGGACGACACTCCAACTAGAAGGTCTCCCTGCTTGGCTCAGCCCCACTGGGCATTCGGAAATGTCACATCCCTGAATTGAAAAGTCCTCTGAACTTCTGTGACAAGTGCAAGCTGGCCTCGTCTTGCTGTAGACAAGACACCTTGAGCTGCCACCATACCTTCCCCTCTGCCCCATCTATGTTAGCTCGTCTCGGTGTCCCTGCCTGAGGGTGCCAGGAAGGACAGAGGGCCAATCTTTGCTTATTAAATATAAGGGAAGGGGGTCCCTTTGAACATAACTGACCCCTGGCACTTTCAGGCCCCTTGAGTTCACACGGACCCAGCAGCGTCCCGGCGGCTCTGTAATTCACACCCAGTAGCCAGGCGCAGGCCTCTGCTCTTCCTTTGGAGGTGTCCTAGATATGTGGTGATTTCTTTTATCCCCCCTCCCCATTCATTGCTGCAAGTAGCTTGCTCGGCTCCGGATCCACAGAAGAGAACAAAGAAAACGACCTCAGACCTTCCTTACCTCAGACGTACGCAGCGACTGTAGCCAGGCCCAGCTCATCTTCCACCTCCACTGTGCCAGGTGAGTGGATGTGGGGCCCACCGGGAGGGTCACCAATGGGGACACCTTCTCCTCTCAGCCCTCTGGGGGTGGAGCGCTGTCCCTGAGTTGCGTGGTTGCGTGGTCCCTGGCAGGTGCGGCCTGTAACAGCCTTCACCCTGGGTCTCCGGCCTTCACAGGCTTCCCACGGGGCTCATTTTCTTAACAAGCAGCATTAACCCTTTGTGTCCTGGAGAACTCCAGAGATGCAGAGTTTCAGGCATTGGAGGTGGACGGGTAGGTGAGAGCCGCCCGCCTCTCAGAGGCTCAGAGACTAACCGTGGGGACTGACATCCATCTTGAGACATCCCTGCCATCGGAGGCAAAGACACCTCCCGGGTTTCTTGGTGGTCCTTTCCCCTGAGGTCCTGCCCCGGGTCATGCGGTAAGAACTGACCCTGTAGCTTGTTCCCTTTCTCACTCTTGGCTTCCAGGATATTCTGAGGACGGCGGGGCGCTCCGTGGAGAGGTCATTCCGGAACATGAGTTTGCCACGGGACCAGTGTGTCTTGATGATGAGCGTGAATTTCCCCCTGTGAGCACTAGGAACCCTTGAAAGAGCCGCTCTGTCTGTGCCAGAAGGAAGCTCTGTCTCTGAGAGGAGGCAGAGTCCCTTTCCTTGCTTTCCAGTCCCTAACAACTAATCCTCTCTAAAACCTGAGGGCCGCAGAATGTCACTGTGTGTGCCTCGCAGACCCCGCAGACCAGCGGTTAGGTGTCATGCTCAACCTGACAGCGTTAGAATAACCAAGTACTAACCCAGGGTGTTGGGTGCTCACTACCTTCAGAGGCCTCCGCCCCTTTCCTCTGCTTCTGTACGCTGACGTCACAGCTCACAAGGTAGGAACCTCTGTCTGTGGGAGACTCTCCTCTCCCTAGGCTGCCAGGGAGGCTTCTGCAGACCCTGCCTTTCTGCAGCTGGAGGTAGTGAGTTAACAGGGCCGGGCTATGTTTGGGACTCGGAGCTGGCCACAGGGAGCTGAGCTGAAGCTGGGGTGTGGGAGCTCACCTGAGCACCCTGCAGGGCTTCCCAGCACCTTGCTCCAGCTGTTCTGCCAGCGAGGCCCCCGGTGCTGGCTGAGCACGGGGCTTGGTTTCTTCCAACATCTGGGTCTGGAGAAAAGAGTCTCTCCCCTGGGGGGGAAGAGGGGTTCCCAGGGCCTCCTTGGCTGCTGCTGCTTCAACCTTCTGTTTGGAGCAACACAGACCCTTCTCATAAGCTTCTGTTAGAAAACCTCCAAGAGAGTCCCACCCGAAATCCTTTCAGACGGCAGCAGTGTTGGGCCAACTTGGAACCAGAGAGGATGCGAGGAGTGGCCATGTGGGCTGTGAGCAGCGCCCATGGGCCTGGGTAGGGAGTGCCCTGTCCTGATCATGGTTTTGTGTCAGTTGAGATCCATTTGTTAAAGACTGACATGCAGGTCTGGCTTCTTTCTCCCCAAGATCCATGGGACAACTTAGTAAGCCTATTTGGCCAAAAAGAGACAGCTCATATGGGTCACTTGTGCACAACTGGGGGACATTTGTGACTTCCCACATTGGCTCTGTGAATTGCAGTTTGCAATTTACATTTCTGGCTTTTAATAGGCAGGTTGCCAAATATGTTGCCAGCCAGCCATATTTATGTTTTAGTGGCGGACAGGAGTGTGCTTAAAAATCCTAATTATAAATTTTGAAAACATCTGTTGGCTTCCTGCCTAAGAGTTGCTTCCTGAGCCCGTTGTTTTGCCTTTGAGTTCTCATGACGCCAACCAGCTCTAAAGGGAGCTTCTCTGTCTCAGGAATTGGTGGTTATTTATCTGAAGTTGTGCCTTCTGGGAACCAGAGCACTCCAGGTTAGATGCAGTGGGGACAAATGTGACCACCCTACTCCATCAACGTTTAGAGCATCCAAACACTCACTGGGTTCCATTTCAGTAATTTTGGTAAAAATCTGTGAGTACTAGATTACTAATTAGATTCTTAATTGTAATCAGAGCCAACCTTGCAGTCTCTTATGTTAAGAGAATTAGGGTAATTAGGCTATTGGCAATTATGAGATAGTCTGTTACTACAGAAAACCTGTGTGAAATAACAGGCACCCTGTGTGCATTTGTTTGGGGTTAAATATATATATATATATGAATCAGAGATGCTTACTTTAAAAACTGGTACTCAAACTTATCACCAGCCCGTTCACTTATATGCTGCCAGGAAGCTAGGAACGAGCTCATTGTCCTGCCACCTTCTTAAGAACCAAGTGAGTGACAGTTGGCTTAAACTGCATCAAGAATCTTTAATACAAGACAGATGCTTCCTGCCTGTGAGACTGCTGGTCACTGAGTCAGGTCCCAGGGAATATTGGGCAGCCCTGCGTGCAGGCCAGGCATGAGACACTGTGGTGGCCACCAGAGCTCAGCTTGCCCCTGAGGCTGCAGGTAGATGGTAAGGGGGCTCAGTGCTCCCTCTGAGGCATGGGATCAGCAGCTGGCAGGCTTCTCTGGCGGCAGGAGGACCAGGGGCAACCACTCCTGGCAGCTGCTCGACATGGCACACCTCAGGTATGCCCACGGGGGCAGCAATGTCCAACTAGAGATTCTAGAAACCACCCCTTCTCTGCCTTAATCCTTGACAGGCCTGTGGCAAATAGCTGTCTCTTTACTCATATTCCTAATAGCTTCTGGGACCCCAAAAGGGTCCTGGAGTCTCGGGTTGGTGAAAACCACGTCTGAAATCTTTCAGAGAGGATCCCAGGCTTGCCTGGGGAGTCTGCCTCAGGACTCCCTGGGCCTCAGCCTTAAGAACATGGGTTGTCACTAGTGATCTTTGCAAAATATACTGACGTGGCCCTACATATCGTCAGTCTTCTCCTTGGGGTTTACTTTGCTCTGAGAACAGTGGAAGAAAAGTAAGTGGATCATTTCTGGCAGCTTAGGGAGAGGCTGTCTTCGGGAGGGTGAGCAACCTCTGTTTCAGTAACAGGCCAATGTTCAATTCTGTGCATTTTGGGAGACAGTCTTAACCCTGTGAGCAAGAGTAAGTAAGGCAATTGGGACCGAGGGTGTCTACTGACTTCTATAATGAGTTAGCAGGCTGTGTTTACAAGATGAGCCTTTTGTTAAAGTACACACATGCACGTGCGCACACATTTTATACATAGGTAGCATTTCAGAATCTGTGCCATCCTCGCCTGCACCTACATAAGACGTGGTGTCCAAGTGAGAGTCAAATTGTGGTTCAGGTGGAAAAGCTCCTCAGTGCCCAGCCTCCCCTGCCAGCCCCCATGGCACAGCCTGCCATGCGGGTGACACAGCCTGCCTGCCCACCAGCCTTTTCCTGGGAAGAGTAAGGCCGTTCTGTTTTCATTTTGGTAGATAATCTTGTGCCGTGGAAGTCAGAAGGGCAAAACGAAGCAGTCATGACGAGTTGTGCACCTCAGAAATCAGGACACCCCCTGTCAGGTGGTTTTGGAGAGAACAAGGAAGGTGGAAGAATGGAGTGCGATTGTGTGAGCAGAAAGGGGACAGTCCTGGGTGCTGCACTGCCTAAGCCACAGGACGCGGCTAACGCCTCACCATGCCCCTTGGCTCTGGCTGCCTGTGGGCATGGGGGACACTGTATCCATACCACGCTGTTTAAAATACCTTCAAACCACAGTGTAAATGTTAGCTAACCATATTGGTATATAACCGGAATTTTATATGAAAAAGGGCATCCTTTTTAAATGTATGCTGTGTAAAAAAATGTATGTATAGGAAAATCTCTTTGAATTGTATTTCTTGTATATTACATCCATGTAGAGAGAAACTATTTTAGCCAGGCAAAGTATTTTTGCAGTGATTGGAATAAATCATTTATTACCTTCAAGTCCCATTTAGGACACTAATAATAAAATCATGGCAATGCATTTTTTAGTTTTCTTAAACTTTATTTCTTGGGAGCTTCAGGGTTCAGGAAGAAGTCTTGACACTACACTCACTTGACCTTTAAAAGGGGGGAAGGAGGAAGGGGTCACGGGCTTAGCCCTGGACTCTCGTGCTCCGAGACCTGGAAAGGGACCTGACTTCATCTGGTCCAGCTCCCTCGCTGCTCCCGGCATCCCCTGGGAGCCTGCCAGAAGTGTGAGTGCTCAGGCGCCTCCACACCTTCGGAGCCAGAGTCTGCATTTTTACAGGATCCCAGGTGATTTGTATGCCTATTACAGATGGAAGAGCTGGGGTGTAGCTCAGTGGTAGAGCACTTGCCCGGCATGCATGAGGCCCTGGGTTCAATCCCCAGCAACATAAAAGAAAAATAAAGATGGGGATGGTCTGCACATACTGGTTGGTACCAGTCTATGCTAATGTGAAGAGGAAACTAAAACACACCAGGTATCTGCTCTGTGTCAGGTGACACACGATGCATTTTCATAAACTGCTTTACTTAACCTTTGAAATCACCTTGCAAGTGAGGTTAACTGCCCAAGGTCAAATCCTGGGGCTGGAACCTGTGCGTGACTCTGAAGCCGGTGAGCGTTCCATTGCACTACACTCACCACCCCAGACCCAGCTCCGCTCAGGGGCATCCCTCAGGACAGCATGGAAAAGGGACAGTATGCAAAGAGGAGTTGCCAAGTGGTGGCCCCCAGACAAAATTCCAAGACTTGTTTTCATAGCCTAGGTTGGTAAAGAGGGTAAATCAAGTTTGAAAGCGAACCTGCCCGTCTGATTTCCAGCCATCCCTCAGTGGAAAAACTGGCCGGTTACGTGGTTTGGCAGCGGCAGGCGATTTGGTAGGGATTACAACAGGGAATTACTGAAGGATCCTGTGTGTAATCGGCTCTGGAGATGTTGTCATTGGCAATGTCTTGAAGGACGTCTGCGAGAACCTTCCTGACCTTGGGCAGCACGGCCTGGTACTCAGCACCCGCTCTCTGTAGAGGCTCCCCTTCTGCAGCGTCTTCTTGGAGATCGAAAATAAGAGGAGGATCTTGCTGCTGCTCAGGCCCAATGCTTCCGTCACAAGCTCTGGCTCCACCTAGGAAAGGATGACCACATGCACCTCATCAGACTCAACCTTGGCTCTGTGCTGTCAAGAGGAGACCTGGGATTGATTACAAATGAAACATACCAGCACTTGACACCCAGATGACTGTTCTCCCTATCAGAGAAACTGCCACGAGAATCTCTTCCCCCTTCCAGTGACGATCCTGTCATTTACAATGATCTGGAACATCTCCTCGGAGCCAGGAGAACAGTCCTTCAAACATCTTTCATCTCTGCCCTTTCAGGGCAAATCGAGTTCTTTGAAAACTGATTTCTTGAATACCAACTGGTGAATTAGATGGAAGGGAAGATGAGTAAATTCGCTTTGGGTTGAAGATGAAATTCTTACATGGATTAGAATCTGGGGCTGCTAACTCAGTCCCAAAAGAGGGATGATAAGAATGTTAGGAGGGACAGCCACATCCTCGGCTCTTAATGATTCTGATGATGTCCCTCCCCTCTATCTCTGTAAAAGGGAGGTAAGGTATCTGGCAGAAATAAACATAATTGAATAAATAAAGGTAAGTAGGAGAGAAGTTCAAAAATATAGTCTGGTAGAGCGTGGTGGCACACACCTATAAACCCTGCAGCTCAGGAGGCTGAGGCTGGAGGTTCGCAAGTGCAGAGCCAGCCTCAGCAACTCAGCCAGGCCCCTAAGCAACTTAGCAAGACCCTGTCTCAAAATTAAATAAATAAATTAATTAATTAATTAAAAGGGCTGGGGATGTGGATCAGTGGTAAAAATGCTCCTGGGTTAAATCTCCGGTACCACCCTACCCCCCAATATATATACATAAGTATATATATATAAGTATATATATGTGTGTGTATGTATATATATATATATATATATATATATATATATATATATATATATATACTTATACACACACACACACACACACACATATATATAAATAAATATCTGCCTCTGAGCATCTTAGTGCCCAAACATTATCAGTCTTTGGAAATTAAAGTTTCCCAAAGAAATCATTAATTTCTTAGGAAAAGCTGAGCTTTTTCTGGCCTTTGGATCTGAGAAATCTTCTAGTGGCTCCTCCTCTAGGGGACCCTGCACCACAGACTGCCTATTCACTTTTTTTTTTTTTTTTTTTTTTTGGGTACTGAGAATTGAACCCAGAGGTGCTTAACCATTGAGCCACATCCCCGGCCCTTTTCATATTTTATTTAGAGGCAGGGCCTTGCTAACTTGCTGAGGCTGGCTTTGAACTCGCAATCCTCCTGCCTCAGCATCCTGAGCCTCTGAGATTACAGGCATGTGCCCTGCACCCAGCTGCCCAATTACATTCTTAACAAAAAATATAACTGTGTGATTAGGATGGTCCTTCTGTGGCTTGTGGCCTGGAGACTAGAACATGATGCTCAAGGGCAATTCAGCAGAAGTAAATCTAAAGGGGCAAGGCCGTGCTACCTGAGGATACAGTTTTCTGATCTAATCAGACCAGAAATAAAATTTGAAATATTGAGAAGAATCAGTAGAGTGCATAGCCTTGGGGTGGCCCTCCATGAGTGGTTTCCCTCCTGCCATCAAGATACAGGCTGTTATAGAGAGCAGGGGTTACCAGGCCTGCCATAGTTTGAAGCATCGACTGTATTCTTCATTACCAGTAAGGGGCACATGGAGTGACATGAGCTTTGACAATCAAGCAAAAGTTGGGATTGCCTTCTCTTGTAAAAATCAAATAATTCCATTTGAGGAAATAATAGTCTTTCTAGAACCACCTTCTTCTAGATAACAATAGTAAATTCTAGGCAATATACTAAAAAGAAAAATTATAAAGACGATAGAAAATAACCACGACAGGCAGAAACTGGAAGAGATCCAACCCTTGAAAGAAGGAAGCCACGCTGGTTTGGATCTGTTTCAGATTTTTCCTGGGGACACTTCCTAGTCTGTAGCCTGAAGCTGGTAGCAACAGAGACCAAAGCTGGGGCCTGTCTGGCTTGAGGTGTCAGAATTAGGACCACCACAGAAGACGGATATTGGTGGTGGGGGAATCCTGGGGAGGAGCAGCCACAGAAGAGAAGCTTCCAAATCTAATATAAACTCCTTCGAATCCCTGGCTGACCCCTGACCTACACAGGCCCAGGACAGAGATTCCAGCAACAGCCAGGAGACCAAAATAGCTCAGGAGGCGCTCCGCTGCCACCTGCTACGGGGGAGACGGGCTGTAAAACAGGGTTCCGTTAACTTAGAGCAGCCTGAGGAACAGCTCCTGAGTCCCACCAAAGTCCCAAGCAGTTGAGGCTAGGAGTAGAGGTGACACCCTAAGACCAGCCTCCGCAGCTCAAGAGAACCTACTGGTTGGCCACCGGTGAGAACAAAGAACACTCAAGACAGAAAGCAGAATGTCCACAGTCCACCGTCACAGCATCCAGTTGATAATTTTTAAAAACTGCTACCTAGAGCACCACCGCTTCCACTCTGGCACATAAGCAATTTGGAAACCACCGCTCTCATCCTAACAAGTAAACGGCTGAACCAACTGAAAAATCCACAACTCTGCTGGATCTGAGAAGTGAGGTCACCGGGCAAAACCACTGTCCCCCAAATAGAAAGACAGATGGACAGAATCACCAACTTATCAGAGCAGAGAACTCTGGGGAACCAGGGTAGGAAAACCCAAACTCTAACTGACCAACTACTGGAGGCTCTGTGTAGACAAGTCTAGGAAAACCCCGGGGTGGGGGGCCCAGTTATTAAAGACTCTTATGCTTCTTTTTTTTTTTTTTTTTTTTTTTGGCAGTACTGGGAATGGAACCCAGGGCCTCTCCCAGTGAGCCACACCCCAGCCTCGTCTCCCACACTTTTGTGAGTTGTACCTCTAGGGAGCTCAACCAGGTTCTCACAATAAATATTACAGAAAAGCCGGGCGCAATGACACATGCCTGTAATCCCAGCAGCTTGGGAGGCTGAGGCAGGAGGATGGCGAGTTCAAAGCCAGCCTCAGCAACTTAGCGAGGCACTAAACAACTCAATGAGACCCTGTCTCTAAATAAAATACAAAATAGGGCTGGAATGTGGCTCAGTGGTTGAGTGCCCCTGAGTTCAATCCCCAGTACCAAAGATACACACACACACACACACACACACATATATATATATATATATATATATATATAAAAGAAAAATCCCCTCATGCTTCCAGAAGAGGGAGAAGAAAAGCAACAATCTTTAAATACACCAGAGCATTCTATTCATCTTAACATAGCCTGCACTCAGGAAAAACTATTTCCCCAGTGCCTACATTATTGAATTTTTTTTTTAAGAGCCTAACCAACTAAGGGAAGGGAAATAACTCAACTCTCCATTCCACCTGAGAGGGGCAGGGGAAGGCTACGTGGCACTTGTGAAAATCATAGTCGGAGGCACAGGCTCTCCAAAAGATTGGGCCCTAATCACAGAACTAGGGACACTTCCTCTTTCCCTGCTTCTTAACCACCATGGTACTAAATGTACATTCACCAAGGTTTCTTTTATCTGGTACATTAGTTCAGTTATCAAGAAAAAAAATCACTGCTCAGCGTGGTGGTACATACCTATAATCCCAGCTACTTGGAAAGCCAAGGCAGAAACACAGAAAACTCGAGGTCAGCTTGGGCAACTTAGTGAGACCCTATCTGGGGGTCTGCCACTGGGGATTGAGCCCAGGGGTACTTAACCATTGAGCCACATCCTCAGCCCATTTTATTTTTTATTTTGAGACAGAGTATCACTAAGTTGCTTAGGGCTATGGTGAGTTGCTGAGGCTGACTTCGAACTTGCAATCCTCCTGCCTCAGCCTCCAAAGCTGCTGCGATTGTGGGCATGCACCACCATGCCTGGTTCAAATTTTTTTAAAAAAGGGAAGAGGATATAACTCAGTGGTAGAGTATTTGCCTAGCATATGTGAGGCAAAGGGTTCCATCTGCAGTACCAGGATCATGAAGCAAACATCAAAACCTGAGTCAGATAAGGCAGTGTGGTTGGAATTATCAGACTGGGAATTTAAAATAATTGACTAATGTGCAAAAGGCTCGAATAAAGTAGACAGCCCACAGAAACAGGTAATGTAAGCAGGGAGCTGGAAAGTCTAAGAAAGAATAAAATCTAAAAGTTAATGATCAAAACGTTCTAGCAGAAATGCAGAATACTTTTGATGCGCTCATGAGTACTCTGGCTATAATGAAGGAAAGAATCTCTGAGTTGGGGAATGTTTCAATAGAAACTTCCAAAACCGAAAAGCAAAGAAATAAAAAGCTAAAAGCAGAACAAGATACCCAAGCACTGTGGAAACACTACAAAGAGTGTAACATACACATATTGGGATACCAGAAGAGAGAAGGCAAACAAAGGAACAAAGGAAACATCTGAAGCAATAATGACTGAGAATTTCCTCAATCTAGTAACATACTATAGAAATGATCCCTGAAAGTATAGTCTTAATTTCCTCAATCTAATGTCAGACACCAGCCACGGATCCGGGAAAGTCAGAGGATATCAGGCAGTTTTTTTTTTTATTTTTATTGATATATGCACACGATAAAACAGTATGATTTGATCAATTTCAGTTTTAAAAGGAAAAAAATATGCCTATACCTAGTGTATAATATTCAAATTGCAGGACTGAGGTGTAGCTCGGTGGTAGAGCACTCGCTTACCATTCGCAAGCCTCTGCATTTGATCTCCAGCAGCACAGGAGGAAAACTTATTTTAAATTAAAAAAAAAAAAAGGAAAAAAATCTTGAAAGAGGTTGGGGTAGGGATCAAAGAAAAGAACTACACTTAATAAAAATTATAAAAATTTCACCTTCTCAGAAACCATGCAAGAAAGAAGAGAGTGAAAGAAAATATTTAAAGTTATAACAGAAGAAAACTACCAACCTAGAAATCTGCACCCCACAAAATTCTTTCAAAAGTAAAAGAAAAATTAAAGACTTTTCCTCAGGCAAACAAAAATTAAGAAAAGGTTTTGCTGGTAGACCTGCCTT